TGTGTGTGTGTGTGTGTGTGTGTGTGTGCGTGTGTGCGTGTGTGCGCGCGCGCGCTGATGTGACGCATCTAACAATGTTCTCAACCTGATGACGATGTTCGCCCTCTTGATCTGAGATAGGGAGCTGTATGTTGCGCTGCTGTTTGGTTCTGGCTGATGTATCTAGGGATATTTTTCATTCATAAAATTGTAGCTGTGTCGTGCGGATGTATGTTTTGCTGCTTTGCATGGTTTTCATTCACGAACAGGTTTTTGGTTTCGCAGGCTATGTCACATAGCAAACGGTTCCCCGCCGCCCTGGTCCTTGTCGCTGTGCGTATACTCAATGCATAGGTGCCTTGTTGCCGCCGGCATATGCCCATTTCTGCGTCGATTATCAGAGGAGCGTTTTCTGTGCACAAGCAAGACGTGGGCAGGATATGTAATCAGAATGTAGCAACTCTCATCAAACTATCGGGCGCGGATCGCTGCCCTGCGCAGTGGCAAATCACAGAGGTACAAGCTGACATCATGAGATGTCCAGGGGACGTCGACGCCTTTGAGCCGCCTCACGTCAGGAACGGCGTGCCCTGCCCGAGGACGCCTGCAATGCACGGGGCGGGATTGGGGCGGTGACACATGAGTGAGTTTCATACCCCTTTGCTACCCAGGATTCCTGTGGCCTATTGGCATATCTGACCTGGCCTTAGCCTCCCAATAAGGCAGGCTGTCAAGCGCCCACTGATCGCCGCCTGCACGTACACCGGCACAATCCTGCGCAATCCCCCCTCAAAGGGGACTGGCCGCCCGCGCAGAGCGCACCTGGCCCGTCCATGCACCAGCCGTCTTCAGTGCAGAGGTCCGTCCCATCGCACTGGCATGAGTTCAGGCACACACGCCTGTCCGCATCCCCCGAGCCCTCCGGCAGCTGCTCGCCCGCCGCCGGCTCCCACTTGTAGGCGTCGTTCTTGAGGCAGCTGCCAAACACGCTGTCGCCGCCCATGGACCACGACCACCCGCCCTTCTGCCAATCGGGCGTCGTCGCTGGCCAGCAGCGCGGGGCCCCCCAGCCGTCGAACTTGCAGACGCGGGTGTCGTGGCAGTCGCAGGAGGTGCGGCAGGGCGTCGGGCCCTGGGATTCGTACCCGGGCGCCAGCACGTAGGGCGGGGGGCGGCGCGACTCCCGGAGGCCCTGGTAGCCCTCGAACTTGCGGCACGAGGCGGTGCTGGGGAACTCGGCGTTGGCGGCGCCGCGGAGGCCGCGGCGGGAGGCCCGCGCGGCGGCGGCGGCCGCGGCGGCCTGGCTCGGTGCGGCGGAGCTGTAGGGCGGCCGAGGGGGGGGGGGCGACAGCGAGGGGGGTCGCGCATGAAAGACTGAGTCTGCCACATTTATGTTGATTGAGTTGCTGATTTTCATCGATCATACACGATATCAAATAGTGTGAGCTTCCCTCTCAACTGCTGCACGCATGAGTTGCAGAGTCGAGGTAAGGAGAGGCGGCGCACCTTGCGGCCGCTGCCCCTGCAGCTGCCAACGCAAGCACAAAGAGGGCGAGCTGAAGCTTGGCTGCAGCCATTTCAAAAGATTTCTGTTGACTAGGTCGCCGCCGCAATCGCTGGCGGCTACCAGCAGCGCAATGGAGTTTGCACGCGGCGCAAGCCCGGGCCGCAGAGTGTCGGCCGTGGGGCGGTAGCGTGCTACCCGGAGCACCCTTCGACAGGCTTTCCGCGCAGCTCTTGCTTTTGTGAAAGCGACAGTGTTCTTTTCAACATATAAAGAGGTCGAGCGAGCAATATAGACGCGGTGCAGCTGGCTGTTTCGGTATGTACACAACACGAATTGTATAAAGTTGCAAGAACGCGCGGTATTGATCAATAAGAATGATATTATGCATCACATTTTCCTTGTTGGTGGCCGAGCAGCGGGCTACCCATGTGACGACGATCCGCGCCCGTTGAGGGCTGACTGTGCTGACTGGTGCACTGCTCAATGGATGGCGGGGTGTTCCACGATTGATTATCGCTCCGTGCATAGTGCAATCAATTACAAATAGGTAATCTTGTAATTACCCACTGGAGCGTTTTGTTTTGCTGGCATGCATAAAGTACACATCTCTGTGAGATGAACCAGAGCCGTGCTGATTGCCACAGGATTTGGTCCTAAACATTGGTGCTGCACCAAGCTGTCAGATAACTTTTGTTCATGCATCTTTTAGATGATACAATGGAGTGTGCAGTAAGGAACCTGCCGTAAGAATTTTTCGGGTTGAGCCGCTCAACCCAAAATATTCTGCTCAACCGTTGAGCATGTGCCGATGCTGTGTGTTGGAAGGCACTCTGCTGATGCCGGCTGTCCCTGGTGTTCAAGAATCCAGCAATTTACACCACCAACTGCCCCACGAGTTTGTCATGTGGGTTGAACGGAGTGCATTGCCAGCCCAGGTTTGACCGCAGTCTGTGCAGGGCCCCGGAAAGACAACCGACATCCTCCCCTGCCGCACCGTGCCAGCGTACAACAGTAAAGAACCATTTTTGTATGTATTGCAGCCACGACGACGCCATTGTGGAGTGTTCATTGCGGCATGACGATGGGTGGTCGCTGATCATGAGATCAGTTCGTAAGGAGAGGAGATTCCGGGGTGATAGCTTTCAGGAGCGCTAGCGAGCACTCATGTGAGCAGCTGTTTGAACAAATGCACATATCTGTTTGAGGTCCGCCCTCACTGCAAGCAGGTGCCCACGGACACGCCACGGCCACCAGCGCTTGCAGCACCACACCACACCGGTGTTCGCAATTTCGCTGCGACCCCTGCCAGCAGACCACTCTTGGTCCATCGCTCTTGCGCCACATTTCAATGGCGACCCACCGCACGCTGCTGCCCGGGACCGTGTTCCCTGCCCTGTCGCTTGCGAAGGTGCGCTCACAATCCAGGAGCTGGGCGGCGCGGGCCGCCCAGCTGCATGCCGAGCCCTGCGGCTGCACAGCTGCAGCGACACAGGCGGCATCCCCATTCATTCCTCGGCCCCACCAAACACGACTTCCTTCGCCCCACGCCCCCAGGTCGGCGGGGGCTCCCTTGACCTCAAGCCTGCAGAGGGGCGCCACCTGCTGGTGGTGGCCTACCGCGGCTTCTTCTGCCCTCTGTGCCAGGGCACCCTGCAGGATGTGCAGGGCAAGCTTGACAAGCTCCAGGACGCCGGCATCGACGTCGTCGCAATCTCGGCGGAGCCTCTGGACGTCGCCGAAAAGACGGCGGCGGACTGGGGCGTGACGTTCCCCGTGGGAGCGGGCCTGAAAGGCAAGCGGCGGCCGGCAGCCGGGGAGGGCGCGCGTGCGTCGACTAGCAAGGGGTTGGCGCGAGCGGAGCAGCAGACCAGCAGCACCAAGCGCTCGGGCGCCAAAGGCGCAGCAATCCTGCAGCATCAAATCCTTGTTTTCTTTACGAATGTGCCACCCATGATCTCCACCTCCGGGACCCCCTGCAGAGGCCGACCTGCGCACTCTGGGGCTCTACGTCAGCGACCCCCGCCACTACCAGCCCATCGACTGGCGCTTTGGCGAGCCCGGGTGGTTCCTGGTGTCCCCCGACGGCAAGATCCAGTACGTGGACGTGGCGTCCACCCCGGTGGGCGGCCGCGTGAACGTGGACCACCTGCTGTTCGCGACCAAGTGGGTGCAGCAGCGGCTGGTGGAGCACCCGGAGTTCGCAGGCTATGTGTGGGGCGGCGTGCCAGCGGCGGAGGGCGGGGAGGCTTAGGGACCTGCTTCTTGAAAGGTGGTAGGCGGGGCAGCCGAGCTCCTTGTAATGCGACTGAGGCGGTACGGGAGCGCGTCTGTTTACAATGGTTGAGAGCACGGAGGAGTCACCACCCAGCAAACTTGCATGCTGTGAAAACAACGCCATGCACGTGTCCCACAAAGCGCACATTGAGCTGTTCACCACTATATTTTATTGCACCTGCCAGCCTCCGGTCCCACTGTGATATGCTGATACCCCAACCCTGCTGACCCATGTCTGGCACTGCAACGGCCTATGGAACACAAAGCCTTCACCCTTTTTCACGCTGCTCCCTGCACACACTGGTGCCTTCTATCTGCGCCACACTCGATGAAAATCCCTTGAAAAACAGAGGGGATCTCCCAACATATCCCAACATTACAGGGCAACGCACTGTGCTGCGAACGGGCAGTGTCGCAGTCTGCCACACAGGAGTGCGCGCAGCACACAAAGCACACACAGCACGCCTTGGCGCGAGGCACTGGTGACTGACGTGTTCCAGCGTTGCAGGTAGCAGCATTTGTATGAGTCCAGAACGTTACGGGTAAGTTGCACTAGTAATGCAGGCCAGCCACTGGGCAGCATTTTCAAATTTGGGGCTCTGGTAGCCCTTGATGACAGCTCAAGCAACAGCACTGCAACAGAAATATGTTGCACAATTTCTAGAATATAGTTTCGAGTTTGCCAGCGGATCGGCACTCTTGTGATCTCGCAACATGGCGACGAGGGGACGGAGCGCGCCTCTTGCGCTGGTTTGGTGGTTTGAGCACATGCTCATTATGGAGGACTTAGATGCAGACAAGCTGGAGCACCTATCAGCGCTTGTGTACGGCGTAGTTGGGGCACCCGGTGCACCCTGCAGCGTGCCAGCGCCAGTCACATGCCGGTTGCTGCTGCGGTGTATGCTGCCGGCCTTCACGCCAGCAGATCAGCTCAACACGGCAGATTCAGACGGCGTGCTGGTCGCTCTCGGCAGCATCGCCAGCCTGGCGGGCGGCTGCGCTGGCGAATTCCCCGCTGCCGTTGACCTCGCACGCATCACGCCGCCCGCGCCGCTGCTCGCTGCCGCCGCTGCGCTGCACCTGGCGCGAGGCGTCGCGGCCGCGGTGCGCCAGGAGGGCGCGGCGCCAGAGGTTGGGCGCGTGCAGGAGGTGCTTGAGGGGCTGCTGCAGGACAGCCAGCTGGAGGCGATTCTGCCAGACACAGACCTGCGCGACAGGTGGGGCGGGCCCAGTGAGGAAACGCGAGCGTGCGCGCGCGCATGAATCAATTTGTGTGTGTGTGTGTGTGTGTGTGTGTGTGTGTGTGTAATCACGCGTACAGGCGCTGCATGTGCGTGCATGCAGGGTACAAAATGGCACGCACGCCAGCAAAGCTGCGAGCTAAAATATGCAAGGTGCACAGCTCGCACTTGTTCGGCGCACACGTGCGTACACACACGCGCGCGTGCACGAATGCGTACGCACAGTGCGTTTACACACGATCCACAAGTACACGCCACCCCACAACACCCGCTGACAGGGCCGCCGAGGTGGTCGCCGAGCTGGGCGCCTGTGCGGGCGGCGGGCTGGCGCCCGGGGACGTGGAGGCGCTGACGGCCCGCGTGGAGGCCCTGTTCGACGCGGCGGCGCTGCAGGCCGACCTTGAAGCCTATGCAAACGCGGCCTGGCAGGAGCTGGGGCCGACATACCTGCAGGTGCGCTGCTGTGGCCGGGCGGGGCATCGTGATGAGACTGGAGTACATCGAAAATGCGTTGTTATACCCCGCAGTCGGCCCGTTCTAGAGCCGGCCGGGCGCCAGGCAAGGCGCTGCGCGGCAAACGGTCGTCCCCCCGGGCCTCCCGCCAAGCCAGCCAGCGGTCGCTGGCAGCGCGGCTGAGGGGTTGCTTTAAGGCTGATGCGCGTGGCATCGCGACGAAGGAGGCAAAGGGCCGAGGGCGCGCCCGTGCAACCCGCGCCGGGGCGCCGCCTGCAGGCGCACGCCCGGGAGGTCCTCAGCGGCGGCGAGCAGCCGCCCGCGCCTGGCCACGCGACCTACGGCAAGCCGGCGGACGTCTTCATGTCAGAGCCCTCGCCGCCCCTGCGGCGGGACGAGGGCCCCGGTGCAGACGGCGGCACGGGGCCAGCGCCGACGTCGGACGGCGCGCCGCTGCCGTTTGGCGGCGGCGATCCCGAGGTGTTGGACGGGACCGCGGCGGCGGCGGCCGCGGCGCCGCCGCCAGCTGAGGCCTTGTCGCCGGTGAGGGCCGGGCGGGACAGGAGGCAGCGGGGCGCGAAGGTAGGCGGCGAGCCAGCGGAGGCTGCGGCGGCGCCTGCTGCAGCCCCTGCAGAGGGGCGAGCGGCGGAGGGTGGTGGGCAGCGGGAGCCAGTGGTGAACGATGGGCCCTCAGCGGCACCCAATGCGGCAGCGCTGGGCAAGCGGCGGCGCCAGCAAAGCAAGGCGGCCAAGCCCGACCCCCGCACGGCCGATGCGGCAGCTCAGAAGCCGCTCGCACCACTGCGGCGGGCAGCGGAGGAGGGTGGCGCGGGCGGGGGCGCGGAGGAGGGCGGCGCGGGCGAGGGCGGTTTGAGCGAAGCAGAGCCTGTTGGTGAGGCGGAGATCAAGCAGGAGCCCGGGCTGGATGCGGTGGAGGGTTTGGAAGACGCAGGGGGCGCGGCGCCGGCAGCTGCGGGCGGCGATGAGGAGGACGCAGCAGCGGGGCAGGAGGAAGACGGGCAGCAGAGACGGGCTGCGGCGG